ACCTTTCCAATGAGTGGTAATATGATGGGGTTATCTCAAACCGTTTTGGAGATATAGTCACAAAACTGGTATCCCAAATAATCCGCCATCACTACTGATTTTATAAAAAACCAGTAAGGAAAGTAGTAAAGTCGGACTGGGCCGACTATATGATACCCTTCACACGAAGCTTAGCACCATCATTCTAGACTTAATTCAGTACCCTATACCAAAATTCGTGCAAATCGAAAGATATATAGGGACTTTGGTGCACCAATTACATAAAATCGGACGAAAATATATATGGGAGCTATATCTAAATCTGAACCGATTTTCACGAAACTTTGCACACATTATTATAGACGCAATTCAGTACGCTATGACAAATTTCGTGCAAATCGAAAGATATATGGGGTCTTTGGTGCACCAATTACCTAAAATCGGATGAAAATATATATGGGAGCTATATCTAAATCCGAACCGATTTTCACGAAACTTTGCACACATCATTCTAGATTCAGTTCAGTACGCTGTGTCGAATTTCGTGCAAATCGAAAGACATATATTGACTTTGGTGCACCATTTACATAAAATCAAACGAAAATATATATGGGAGCTATATCTAAATCTGAACCGATTTTCAAGAAATTTTACACACATCGTTCTAGACTTAATTCAGTACGCTATGCCAAATTTCGTGCAAATCGAAACATATATAGGTACTTTGGTGCACCATGTACCTTTAATCGGACGAAAATATATATGGGAGCTATATCTAAATCTGAACCGATTTTCAGGAAACTGAACACACATCATTCCTGACCTAATTAATTACGTTGTTGCAAATTTCGTACAGATCGCAAGGTCTTTAGGGACTTTGGCACACCATTTACATTAAATCGGACGAAAATATATATGGGAGCTATATCTAAATCTGAACCGATTTTTCCCAATTTTAATAGGCTTCGTCCTTGGGCCAAATAAGTGACATATGAAAAATTTCATCTAATTCGGATCATAAATGCGACCTGTACTTTGTTTACAATTTAACATGGCCAGACAGACAGACTGACGGACATGCATAAATCGACTTAAAAAGTGATTCTATGCCTATTCTAAAAAGGAACCATGTGTCTATCTCGTTTCCTTTTGCCTTTTACAAACATATGCACAAAGACATAATACCCTGTACCACAGTGTGGTGAAGGGTATACAAATTTGGGATTCCTTTTTTTATTCAATATTTAAAAATGTTTTTTTTTTTAATAAAAATCTTTTTTATATAAAAATATTTTTTGTTATGTAATGTTTTTTTCTTTTGTGTAGTATTTTTTCAAGGATTTAAGAAAGATTGTCCCGCGTGCATATTTTTTATATATTTTTTTTCTGAAGGATCAACCATCAAATATCATTCAGGAAATATTAAATATTTTAATATTTTCAATGCAATTTTAAAAGTAGGTCACTTGAAATGTAGATTTGGCGGTAATTTATATGTATGTGTGTACAAGTTTGGTAATTTTTTTTTATTTTGTATTTAAGACAAAAAATCATAAATTCACAAAAATTTAAAACAAGTTCTGTTTTTTTTTATAGAACAAACAAGATAAGCAATCATTAAAACTGTATCCAAAACCCAAAACCACAAAACAAGAAAATACAAATGAAACACACACACACACACTCACACACAAATACCTAACATGATTTTTATAAAAAAAAATTAAGTAACACACACACATACACCTACATACCTACACACCTCTTTAGATGCAATTGAATATTGAGGAAACTGGGTCAAACACACACAACATTAAATATACATACATAACTATGCTAAAGTAAATAAATATCTAGAATACATATATACAGTGACTTATATAAAAACTATATAGGGTATATATAAATTGTGTTTGCATTGCACACACACACATATAGGTATATAATCTGTTGTCTATGTTAAATTGTGCAACCCAATTTTGCAACAAAACCAACAACAAAAAATTGCACATGGAAACACCGAGCCACAAAATTAAGGTCACCACTCAATCACATCCAACAATGGAGGTCGATGGTGGGCGCAGGGTGGCCATTATTACTGTTGTTTTTGTTGGTGTGGGGGATGGAAAAACAATACAAATGTCAGAAAATGCCACCACTAACAGCCCCCCACAACCACCTCGAGTAAATGTGGCAAGAGAATGAGCGAGCCAGCGAGCCAAACCAAATGAATGAGTTAGCAACTGGCCTCACCGACTGACTGACTGGCTGGCAGGCAACAAAAAAAATCAAATGACTGGAAGAAGTAGGTTACCATGTTATGAATGTAGTTCTTGGCCATGTTGGAACATAGCCAGCTTGCTGCCTGCCAGTCACTTTGGTAAATAGTCGATCTTACATCACACACACACACAGGCAAATGTGTACATATACACATATATGTATATACAATGAGAGCTATAGAAAAAAATATTGCATGTGCAACAGATAGAAACACACATGGCTATGTATTTGAGTCAATATATATACATATATGTAGTAAGGGGCATAATTATTTTGAATTTATGTTTATTTTCAATATTTTTTTCAGAGATATTTTTTCAAAGTTTTTTTTCCGCGACACAAAAAATTCATATTTTTCGGGTTTTCGCAATTTTTTAAAATAAATAAAATATTTATTGATTTTCATTTTTCAAAGATTTTTAAAAATATATATTCGGTAAAGTTTTTTAAAAAATATTAAATATTCAAATTCTTTTCCAAATTTTTTTTAATTTTTTTTAAATTTTTTTTATTATATTTATTAAAACATTTTTTAAAAAAATTTTTTTTAAAAAGATTTTTATAAATAAATAAAAATATTTTTTGATTTTTTTTTAATTTTTACAGATTTTAAACATTTTATTAAAAATATATAAAAGATAGTTTTTTTAAAAAATTTTCAATTATTTTTTCAAATTCTTTCAAAAATTCAAATATTATATATTTTTTAACACATATTTAAAAGCCTTTTAAATATTTTTTTAAAGATAGAGATTTTTTGAAAATTTTAAATAGATTAAAAATTTATATTATTTCAAAGATTTTTTTCATTTTTTTTTTAATTTTTAAAAATATATAAAAAATTTTTTAAAAAATATAAAAGATAATTTTTTTTTTAAATGATTTTTTGTACATTTTCAATTATTTTTTAATTTTTTCAAATATTATATATTTTTTAACTCAGCCTTTTAAATATTTATTAAAATATTTTTTTAAAAAAATTTTTTGAAAATATTAAATAGCCTTAAAAAATGTATATTTTTAAAATATTTTTTTTTAAAAATTTTTTTAAAAATATTAAAAGATCATTTTTTTTTAATTTTTTTATTTTTTTACATTTTCAATTATTTTTTCAATACTTTTTTCTAAAATTCAAATATTATATACTTTTTAACACGTATTTATAGGCTTTTTAAATATTTATTAAAATATTTTTTTAAAGATAGATATTTTTTGAAAATATTAAATAGATTAAAAATGTCTATTTTTTCAAAGATTTTTTAATTTTAAAAAATGTTATTTAAAACCATAAGATAAATTTTTTAAAATGATTTTTTGTACATTTTCAATTATTTTTTCAATACTTTTTTTTAAAATTCAAATATTATATTTTTTTATTTATAGGCTTTTTAAATATTTATTAAAATATTTTTTTAAAAAAATATTTTTTGAAAATATTAAATGCTTAAAAATGTCTTTTTTAAAAGATTTTTTTAATTTTAAAAAATTTTATTTAAAACCATAAGATAAATTTTTTAAAATGATTTTTTGTACATTTTCAATTATTTTTTCAATACATTTTTCAAAAATTTAAGATATATATTTTTTAACACATATTTAAAAGCCTTTTAAATATTTATTAAAATATTTTTTTTTAAAGATAGAGATTTTTTTGAAAATTTAAATAGATTAAAAATGTCTATTTTTTAAAAGATTGTTTTATTTTTTTAATTTTTACAGATTTAAAAAAATTTATTAAAAATCGTATAAAAGATAAATTTTTTTAAATGATTTTTTGTACATTTTCAATTATTTTTTCAATACTTTTTTCAAAAATTCAAATATTATACATTTCTTAACACATTTAGTCTGGGTTTATTTATACATGCAACTTTTTTTTTTGGCTCTCTTTCTCTTTTGAATTTCTTCCTCCTTGTCACTTGTTATACCTCCCACTTCTATAAACTCAGCAGAGTTGCTTACAAAAATTTGCAGACTAACACATTTTTTCAACAACTAAAAAAAAATAAATATATTTTTTCAATATTTTCAAAAAAAAAAAAACTTTCAAATACCCAAGAGTTTGAATTAAACAAATATTTTCTAAGAAGTTTAAAAAAAATATTTTCAATCGATTCTTGAAAAAAAGTATATTTGTCAAATACTCTTTAAAAAATTTTTTCAAAATTATAAAAAAAATGTAAAAAATTAAAAAAAAATATTTTCAAAGATTTCTTTCTATTTTTTTTCAAAAGTATTTCATATAGATTTTACAACTTGTTTTTTATATCAAACAATTTTAAAAAATATCTACAAAGATTTAATTTTAAAAAAATATATTCAAAAATTTAAAAAAAATGTTTTCCATGTTTAAAAAAAACTTTTTTTAACAGACATTAAAGGATGTATTATAAAAAATCCCAACAGCTGGTGTTTTATACCAATCTAAAATTGTTATTTTTTTTTATTTATTCCAAAAAATCGTACATTCGAAATTTTATATTAATATCCATCTCTCTTCTTTTATTTCAGTTCAAAAAACAAGCGTTGTGGAGGAGCGGACTACCCAAATCTGCTGCCTTTTTGTGATAGCGGAGAGAGAGGGAGAAGAAATTGACTTCGGCAACGACGACGATCACAACAACAAGAACAAATCGCCGGCGTCGACGTCAATTGGTCTAAACTCGTTAGAAGAAGAAGAAGCAGAAAATCCAAAAAAAAATCCCTTTAAACGATTTTCAAAACAGAAAAGAAAGAAAATGATACCCACATCCTTTAGCGGTTCTTCACCACCCACAGCTGTTGTTGTTGGCCTCAGCAACAATAATGCTGCGGCAGCATCACCCTTTGCCGCCACGGGTGGTGGTGGTGGTGCTCAAACGACGCCCAACAATGCCTGCAATTCAGCCTTACTGGGTATTGCCTCATTGATATTGGAAGGACGTGCCTTGGCCGAAGATGAATATGCTGCCAAATGTCAGGATGCAATAAACAGCCTGACAATTGGGGCCAATAATACGCTCAACGATGTTGGCAGTGGTGGTATCGGTTCAGGTGCTGGTGTTTGCGGTCGACAATCACCCAAACCATCAACCTCACGGGCCGTCACTGGCATCTATCATCATCAGCAGGAACATCATCTTCATGGCGGCAGTGGTACTTCTTCCTCCTCTGAATTGGCCAATTATTTGCGACGCAAAGCATCTAACTCCCCGGATTCGGCGGCACAGTCATCATCGTTGCGTCTGCGTGATTATTACAGCAATAGCAGCAGTGAAAGTGCCGGATCCTCGGTGGAGAGCAATCACAGCCGTTGGTCGCAGAAACTAAGTCAGCTACGTCAAGAATCTCCCTGTGCTCAGCGTCAACAAATGACGACGGCGGAACAGGCTGTGGCTGTTGATTGTGGTGTACGTTCCGCCGAACCGGAATATGTGGCCCTGGCCATTAACACCACCGACCAGTCACACGATGAGCGCCGAAGTAGTGGTGCTGGAGATTTTGAAATTATACGTCGAATTGCTCTGAATCGCATGAATTTGTATAATTCTCCACCGAATAGTAGTGGTGGCGGTGCAGGTGGTGGTCTCTTAAGTGGAGGAGTTGGTGGCAGTCATGGTGCCATTGATAACTCGTTGTGCTCTTTACAGTCATTGGCCAGCAATACCTGGCTACGTGTTGGCACTCCCGTAACAGCATCAACACCCAAATATACCCATTATCGTATAACACCACAAAATATACCAAGATTCCCAACACCCCAGCACACTGATTTATCGGGAAGTTCGGCTAATAGTTCTTCGGGTGGTGGGTGCGGTACATCGAATTGCTATAATTCACCAACCCCGAGTTTTTTCACCGCCACGGCCGCCGCCGCACACAATAAAGATTATCTGCAAAGAAAATCAGCCAATATGCCAACGCCTCAGTCAACGCCCACCAATAGTAGTTCTTCGACAAATAGCCTCTATGATAATTCCCCCTATGGCGGCTTTCATCATCAGCATCAACGCCATCTATTTGAGCGGCGAGAATGTTCGGCAAGCAACAAGCCGCCGACAACAGCTACAACAAGTCGTAATTCTTCGACTACGGCAACAACCACAACACCACCCCAACAGGGTCCACACTGTGATCAGTTCCTGCGCAAAATGGGACTAGCCAAAGGTGATGCCTCAGATGCTGAAGAACACCACTGTGATATGTCATATGTTAATATAACGGTGAGATCAAATGCATTTCTGTTGTTGTTGTTTTTATTTACTTATTTTTCTTTTTTTTTATACCACAGTGCACTCGCTGGCGTGCCTATTGTATTAAAATAGAAAATATTCTAGCCCGTGGTGAGCCTATTTGTATAGAAGTCTATTTGGGACCAGTTGGCCATAAAATTTTATTAGAACAATGGATAATAAGCGTTAATGATAAGTGAGTATTCAAAATCGGTCTCAATCGGTCTCTATACAGCCCAATTGGTCTGTCTAAAGACCTACGGTCTCTATACAGACCAATTGGTCTGTCTAAAGACCTACGGTCTCTATACAGCCCAATTGGTCTGTCTAAAGACCTACGGTCTCTATACAGCCCAATTGGTCTGTCTAAAGACCTACGGTCTCTATACAGCCCATTTCGTATTTATAAAGTCCTACCATACCAATAAAAACCTCATGCCTAATCTCGTTTTTTTTTAAGTATTTATAAAATTAAATATTTCCCCTTGTTTTTGTTTTTCCAGACAACCACCGCCCACAATGACCCTGCCCTCACTATGTAGTGCCATACGCAGTCAATTGTACTTTTCACAAATCAGTGCCTGGTGTGATCTCATTAAAAAAGCGGACAAGACCATTTATGATACTGGTCGCCTTATCTATACCACCACCACATCATCGTCAAGGCAGAGTGCGGCAGGTGATTTAGCCACAACAACAACTGCAACAATGAATGTGAGTACTATTCTAGCAGCTATGAGTTCAAATTGTGGCACTTCTAGTGGTGGTGGTGCTGGCAGCAACACCCCATCCCCATCCGCAACAGCAGCAACAAATGCCAATAATAGTACAAATCATCAGCGTCCACCACGTCTAAATATTTTCTATCGTATCAAGGCATACGATGAGGCTGGTGGTGACAGCAGCACGGCATGCTTTAATACAAAACCGAATGTACACAATTTTCCAAATGTCAATGTATCGGAAAATTGTAGTCTATCGGTTTGTTTGAAAAGTCTTCCACGTATAACGGGCGGTATACCCAAAATAAATAACAACAACACAGCCACGGTATCGCCAACAACAACGACAATTAGTCCCCCAAATAAAGCCACAGAAGCAGCGGCGTCCAGCTGTAGTGGGTCGTGGTCGTCGTCGTCAACAATGTCTGCAACAACTTCCACAACAAATGTAACGGCCGGATCAACAACAACAACAACAAAATCTTTAACTTTAATTAACTGTGATAATAAAAATTCAAAGGAACATCATCATCGTCAACAGCAACAACAACAAACTGCCGTTTTCAATGCCAGCTATCTAAATAAAGGAAATCCCAATATTGATGACAATTCCTGCTCCTTCAGCTCCTGCTACTCCGCCTCGACAACAAATCACCATGATTTCCAAAAGTTTTGCACAACAACAACAAATAATGACAGTTTGGATGGTGACAGTTTCAATAGTGGTGGTGGTGCGGGTGCTTGTGGCGATAGCTGTGATCTTAGTGGCAGTGCGGGTTTTGGTGAAGGTGATAGTTCCAATTCCTCTTTAAGTACAAATTATGCAAATCTTTCACATCGTGAAAAGCAGCTACTCAAATATCGCAAACGAATGCTGAAACGTGATAAGAAAAATCATCAACAGCAGCAGCAACAAACACAGCAAGTACAGCAGAGTAAGACCAGTGATGGTTCCATGGCAATGGAAAATTCCAAATGCTGTACCGTGATTTCGCAAAGAATGGAACAGGGTGATGACGACGAAGACTATGATGTGGATTGTTGTGATGATGGTGTTAATAATGACCATGATGATCGTATTGAATGTCAACAGAATTCTTCATCTCCTCCATCATCATTGAAATGTTTAAAAGACCCTCAAGCTACAGCAACAAAAGGCCAAAGACAACAGCAACAACAACAATTACCAAATAGTTTTAAAAATAGCATTCCCTCTGGAAATGGTCAACAGCAGCAGCATGTAAAAATGATCTCAACTGGTACCCAAACTATCAGCATCACCCCAACAAATCACCATGCTGCTGTTCCAGCTGCTGCTAGTCCAATAGATAGTTTACAACAACAAGGTTCGATCCTAACATGTTCAGCCTGTGGCTATGAAAAGTCAATGATTTGCCTAAAATGTAATCCCCTGAAAGGCTCACCCCACAATGTCCCCCACCACAATGTGGAGGAGGACGAACAGGATGACGAAGATGATGGTATGCTGGATCTAGCAGCAGTCTCTACACCTAACTCTAGCCGTTCAACATCCTCCACACCATCTGCATCATCATCTGCCAGTAGTTTAAATAGTAGCGATATAATACAAACACCCCGTAACAAGGCGGAACTTTTATTACAAGCCATACAGCGGACACCGAAGGCAAATAAGAAACTTAAAGTAACCAAAGATTTGGGGATAGGGGCAGGGCATCAAAACAAACAGCAACAACAAAAGCAGCCAAGTGAAAGAAAATCCACAATAAATAACAAAAACAATGCTGGAGGTCAACAACAAAATCATCATCGTTCCCAAATTTCCCAATTGCAGAGTTGTCAAGTGTGTAAGCGACAAAAAACCCAACATCATTTTCAACAGCAGCAACAACAACAACACCAGCCAACATCGTCACCATCAGCTAGTAGTGCTCTCCATGACATCAACATTTCGGATAATAATCAAACAATTATTGCCGAAAATAATTCATGTCAAAATTCCTTTTCTTCATCGTCGTCGTCCTCCTCCCGATCGCCTTCAACATCCTTTGGTAACATGGTGGCTGACAATCAAATGAATGGTGGTGGTAGTCCTACTGGTGCTGCCGATGATATTTTGGACACTGATGCCGACAATGAAAAGGATGGTGGGAAAATGTCAACAACAACCTTAACATCTGAAGATTGTGTCGATAATATTCGACATGCAGTAAAGAATGCTAAAGCTGAAGAAGCGGAAATATGTGATAATAAATTAATGATAGATAATTATAAGGAACATTATCCACAATATTTGGAAGAGGTATGTAAAGAAAAATTATTCTATTTTTTATATATCGAATCCTAATATGTAAATGAAAGGATATCAGTAATTTGTTAAGCAAAAGGCTCCTGGAATTATTTCATAGAAAGTTTTCTGAAAGGCTAAGAAAAGGGCCCCTATGTTGTGCTTTTACGAGGGGCTGAAATACGATTTGATTGCCTTTATGTTGTGAATAAATGACTTGGTTTATGATTTAACAAACTTAGGCAAGATCTATTCTAGAAACTAAAATACGTTACAAAATGTTGAGCGTGCTACGACAGAACTGTGAGACAATTCGTACGCGAATAGACTGAATGAATGAAAGAGATGTGTTGTTGTATTGGTGTGTAGCAAGAAACAATGATGCCAGATCTATGATGATTGACGGGTTACCGCAACACTCTAAAATAAATAAATCTTTCAAGTACCGATGCTGCAATAACCCCGTGACTAACTATTTCCTAGGGTCCCTAAGGTCAATAAGGAGTGGATTTTTTTAAAGAATATTTGTGATGGTCTTTTAGAGCAACCAGGCGTGGATTTTTAAAGAACATTTGTGACGGTCTTATAGAGCAACCAGGCGAGGAATTTTAAAGATTTTTTCCCAGGGTCTTATAGAGCAACAAGGCGTGGATTTTAAAGAATATTTGTGAGGTAGAATAAGGTGGGGATTTTTTTCTGGGTCAATAAGGCGGGTTGCTCGGTTATTTTAGAACAATAAGGCGAGGATTTTTAAGGAATATTTCCCAGGGTCTTCTAGATCAATAAGGCGTGGAATTTTAAGGAATATTTCCCAAGGTCTTCTAAAGCAATAAGGCGTGAAATTTAAAGGGATATTTCCCAGGGTCTTTCAGAGCCATTTCTATGAAATACTTTCCAGAGTCTTTTGGGGCATGGATTTGTAAAGAATATTTCAGAGGGTCCTTTAGAGCAATAAGGCGTGGATTTTTAAAGAATATTTCTGAGGGTCTTTTAGAGCAACAAGGCGTGAATTTTTACAGAATATTTCTGAGGGTCTTTTAGAGCAACAAGGCGTGGATTTTTAAAGAATATTTCAGAGGGTCCCTTACAGTAACAAGACGCTGATTTTTTAGGAATATTTCCTAGGGTCTTGTAAAGCAATAAGACGATAATTTTTCGGGAATATTTCAGGCGGTCTTTTAGAAGAATGAGGCGGGGATTTTTAAGGAATATTTCCCACAGTCTTTTAGAGCAATAAGACGTGATTTGTTCAGGAATATTTCAGAGGGGTTTTTAGAGCAATTCGGCTTGGATTTTTAAGGAATATTTTCCAGGGCCTTTTAGACCATCAAAACGTAGATTTTTAACTAATATTTCCCAGTGTCTTTTAGAGCAATAAGTCTTGGTTTTTTAAAGAATATATAGGCTTTTTAGAACAATAAGGAGAGGATATTTAGGGAATATTTCTCAGGGTCTTCAAGAGTAATAAGAAGTGGATTTTTAAGGAATATTTGCCCGGTGTTTTAGAAGAATAAGGCGAAGATTTTGAAGGAATATTTTTCTAGGGTCTCTTAAAATTATAAGGCGTTGGTTTTTAAGAAATATTTCTAAGGGTCTTTGAGAAGAATACGGCGTTGATTTTTAAGTAATATTTCCCAGGGATTTCAAAGCAATCTTGTTCAATTTCTGAAAAAATTTAATTTTATTTATTTTATTTTCCAGGAATATTTTGTATCTTCCACCAAATTAACACCAAACATCGAACGTTGTTCATTGACAACCAACAACAAATCGTATTACACACAATTGCCTGAAAATCGAACCGGCGGCGACGGCCAGTCGTCCACAAATGCGACTGACAACAACAGTGCAGTGCAACAACGTTTGTGTTACACCCCACCCATGATGTTGGAATACAGTTCGGAAAGTAGCAAAGGTCCTGGTGGTCAGGTTATGGCACAATTTAAGACACCCACAGCCAGTGAACAACAATTGAAATTAGATGTTAAACGGCAGGTGCAACAGCAGCCTCACAAGCAGACACCCAAACCAAGTCTGTTACAAATCGCTTTCAATTTTAATGTGAATGGCAATGTGGCCGAAAAACAAAATAGCGGTGAATGCAATAACCAACATCCATCATCATCCTCCATACATAACCCGCTATTGGCAAGACGTAATTCACCTAAAGTGAATTTAACAAGGATTTTTTGTAATCCCACTGAAATGAAGGCCTCCTCGCCCATACCCATTGGAAATGGAGGCAATTCATCGTCATCATCGAATACTGCCACAACATCGCCAACGGTAGGTGGGGGTCCACCAATTCAATGCTCGGGTTCCAAATCAGCTGGTATACATGGCTCGGACAAGCTGGCAGCGGCACCCACCTTCTCATTTGAAACACCATCCTCCGGTCCAGCTACACAACCACCTCACCCACCACCCCTAATAACGGTACAAAAATCCAATTCAGCACCCACCTTACCCAATTCGCCATCTCTGTCGCCGCGTTTTATTAAAGCCTCCGCATTATATAAAAGACGTTCACGACATTTATCTGATCGTTCGGATCGCTCATCCCTTGGATCGGATGAACAATTTTCCGATGAAGATCTCGATTGTGGAATGTATAGTCCATTTGCCACGTCACCCGTAAAACTGCGTTCACGTTTAGCTGCAGTATTTGGTCGCAAACCGATTTTAGGTAATCTCGAAGAGAGTTTGCTGCAACGGCGTCTAGTGCCCAAAATCGAAGTAATGGGTTTCAAGCTGTTGCTGGGTGCTTCGGGAGGATTTTGTCCCACACAATTGACAATACCGGCTGCAGCATATTTCTATGAACTGCAGGGTGAAACATTGAGTACACCCTATTTGGTAAGTGAAGGAGATTCAAATGATATTGGGATTTAAATACTAATTATATTTTATCTTTTGTTGCAGTGTGAAATACGCCTACCCCGCAAAGGATATTCGGTACCACGTTGTGGTACTGTCCAAGCCACGTTGCTAAATCCCATGGGTACCGTTGTTCGTATGTTTGTGATACCATACGATATGCGTGATATGCCAGCATTGCATCAAACATTTATACGTCAGCGTATTTTGGCCGATACGGGCAGCAGCAATAATACTCAAACAACAACAACAACGACAACATTAAACAGTGTTGGATCTAGTGATATTATGGTGCAAAATGGCAATATGGAAAATAATTCCGGCAATGATGGAGGTGATGGTGTGACAATAAATTCGAATAAACAGCAGCACCACAATATTGGCCTTAACAATAACAACAATAATAATAACACTAGTAATGGCAACAACAATAACAATCTGGAAAATGAAATGGGCCATTTTATGTCAGCTGAAAATATGAAGAGTTTACGCTATTCCATACATTTGAGGTAAGGGTTTTTTTAAGATTATTTTTATTATTTTTTAAACAATAATTTGGAGGGTCTTTTAGAGCTAGAAGGCTTGGATTTTTAAGGATTGTATTTTTCAGGGACTTTTAGAGTAATAAGGGGTGGATTTTTAAAGAATATTTCTGAGGAACTTTGAATGAAATAAGGCGTTGATTTTTAAAGAATATTTCTGAGAGTCTTTAGAGCAATAAGGCGTGGATTTTTAAAGAATATTTCTGAGGGTCTTTTAGAGCATTAAGGCGTGGATTTTTAAAGAATATTTCTGAGGAACTTTGAAAGCCATAAGGCGTGGATTTTTAAAGAATATTTTTGAGGAACTTTGAAAGCCATAAGGCATAGATTTTTAAAGAATATTTTTGAGGAACTTTGAAAGCCATAAGGCATAGATTTTTAAAGAATATTTTTGAGGAACTTTGAAAGCCATAAGGCATAGATTTTTAATGAATATTTTTTAGGGCCTTTTAAAGATATAAGGCATAGATTTTTAAAGAATATTTTCGAGGAACTTTGCCATAAGGCATAGATTTTTAATGAATATTTCTTAGGGCCTTTTAGAGCAATAAGGCGTGTTTTTTTTTAAAGAATGTTTCTGAGGGACCATTAAAGCAACAAGGCGTAGATTTTTAAAGAATATTTCTGAGGAACTTTGAAAGCCATAAGGCGTAGATTTTTAAAGAATATTTCTGAGGAACTTTGAAAGCCATAAGGCGTAGATTTTTAAAGAATATTTCTGAGGGAAACGTGGATTTTTGAAAGACCATTAAAGCCATAAGGCGTAGATTTTTAAAGAATATTTCTGAGGAACTTTGAAAGCCATAAGGCGTAGATTTTTAAAGAATATTTCTGAGGGACCATTTAAGCAACAAGGCGTGGATTTTTAAAAGAATATTTCTGAGGGACCATTAAAGCAATAAGGCGTGGATTTTTAAAGAATGTTTCTGAGGGACCATTAAAGCAACAAGGCGTGGATTTTTAAAGAATGTTTCTGAGGGACCATTAAAGCAACAAGGCGTGGATTTTTAAAGAATATTTCTGAGGAACTATTAAAGCAGTTAGTCGTGGACAAATTTTAGTTTTTCTGAGGGTATTTTAGAGCATTAAGGCGTGGATTTTTAAAGAATATTTCTGAGGAACTTTGAAAGCCATAAGGCGTGGATTTTTAAAGAATATTTCTGAGGAACTTTGAAAGCCATAAGGCGTGGATTTTTAAAGAATATTTTTGAGGAACTTTGAAAGCCATAAGGCATAGATTTTTAAAGAATATTTTTGAGGAACTTTGAAAGCATAGATTTTTAAAGAATATTTTTGAGGAACTTTGAAAGCCATAAGGCATAGATTTTTAATGAATATTTTTGAGGAACTTTGAAAGCCATAAGGCTTATAAGGCATAGATTTTTAAAGAATATTTTCGAGGAACTTTGCCATAAGGCATAGATTTTTAATAAATATTTCTTAGGGCCTTTTAGAGCAATAAGGCGTGTTTTTTTTTAAAGAATGTTTCTGAGGGACCATTAAAACAACAATGCGTGGATTTTTAAAGAATATTTCTGAGGGACCATTAAAGCAATAAGGCGTGGATTTTTAAAGAATATTTCTGAGGGACCATTAAAGCAATAAGGCGTGGATTTTTAAAGAATATTTCTGAGGAACTATTAAAGCAGTTAGTCGTGGACAAATTTTAGTTTTTCTTATTAGTAATCAATTCCACTTTAATAATGTTTTTTTTTTCTTCCCTTTTCTGCCAGATTCCAAACATCACGTTCGGGTCGTTTAATGCTGCACACCGATATACGCTTGCTAATATCCCGGCGTACCGATTGCGATACGGCTGCCGCTCATGCCAAAGGCGTTTTGGAGGCACCCAATGAACTAATAACGAAAACTGTGATGCCAACAAATCCCAAATATAGTGCACGTCACGATCAGACAGCGAGTAATAAGATTTAGTAGTTGTTGAAAGCTGCATGTGTGCCAGTCGATATGTTGCAACAATTGCAACGGAAATTCTGGCAAAAGATATGGGTTTGAATATATAAATACCACACACACACAACAACAACAACACATCTTTAAATAATAGTAAAAATATAACGAAAAACAAAAATACAATGCTGCCCATACGATTTGTTGGATTATTTAAAAATGATAATAAAAATAATAATTTTTTTATTAAGTAAAATTATATATCAAAGAAAAAAAACAAATGAAATTATATTAGAAAAAAAACAAATAATCGATCTGTACACAAGATGAAGATGAATGAATGAAAAAATAACTAAAAAAAATAGTTCAACTTTAGCCAAGAAGCTCTTATAGTCATTTCCCCCTTCTAATCTTATTGCCAATCTATTTAAAATCCGATTTTGTTATTTTATTTTGTTCGCCTGTTTTTAGTGTCTCTCATCACCAAATATGCCTTTTTCGGATGCAAAACAACAAAATACATATATATATATATATATATATATATATCATAATTCTGTAGTTTTTTAGAAATTAAAAAAAAAATCTATATATTTTGTTATGTATTACAAAAATTTGTTTAATATTATTATTTTTGTTAAGGATTCTTTTATCATTAATATTATATATTTTTTATGAAAAAAGGCCTACACTAACCTAACGAGAGATGAGATATTATTAATAAAGATATATATATATATATATAGAGAATATAAATTTCGTATATAAAAATGATATTTATCAAAAACTTCCTTCCATTCTGTTTCGAAGGAATTCGTTAGCTTTTTATTCTATGAAGATAAGCTTAAATATTTTCTATTTTCAAAATTTGTATTTTTAAGCTTTCCTCAAATTCAGAAATCGTTTCAATTATGTGAATTCCATTTCATATGGTTTCGGGCAATGTGAAAATATTCTCAGCTCAGTTGAGTTACTTAAAAAAAAACTCGGTATTTTTGGGAGTCTGGACAAGTTATTTAACAAATTTCACTGAAATTTTGTATTTTGGATTCGAATTAGGTTGCAAATTTTCCTACGAAAAAATATGGATGTCGGATCACTTTTAACGATATCTCCACAATATAACGGCACTACCCATTTGGGCACATTTTTCGACCGAATTAGCGCTAATTTGATACTTTGGGTTATCATTGGGAAACACATCTTTCTATCAAAAATAATCGATATTCGGTCCACTTTTATTAATAGCTTCCATACAACGTTACTCCCCATTAGTCCGTATTTTGAGGAGTTTGCAGCCTTCAATATCATCCAATAATATATTCAATCATTTATTTCAATTCAGTTTTAATTGAATCATTTGAAAAAAAAAATTATTATTTTTTGATATTTCTTTTTCTTTAATTAGTTGGGCAATAGTGTAGGCCTTTTGGTCGTTCAAATTCGACTTTAGTTTTTTTTCCTTTATTAAAAAAAAAAACAATCAAACTGCAATTTTTGAATTTAAATTCAAATTAAAAACCCCTTAAATATAGTTAATTCTTTTGCCAATATTTTTTGTTTTACCATTTAAATTTATGAAATCTACATATAATTTGCCAAACAAAAAAAAAACTATTTTTTTAAATCAAACAAATTATTTGAAAAAATGCAATGGCAGCTGTTTATGTTTTCAAATTTTTTTAGTTACGAATTTAATTGGTATTATTATGAAAAACAACAAAGAAACACAATTACCTTTTGTTTTTAGTACTACACAACTTGTTATTCTATTATTAATTTTTTTTCATCGCCCATGAAAATTTTTCCACACAAACCCATATTAATATTTTTCTATGCAATATATCCAACTATGTGTGTATGTTTTTATATACACATCTCTATACTGGTTGTCCATCAACAAAAAAATAATAAAAAAGGAGGGTCAATCCAGTTAAAAACAATATTTAATAATTCAATATTTGATAATATTACTCACACGCCCCCCATACAAAAAATAAATATATTTTTTTTAAACTATGTATAGCAAATGTTTTATGTATATTATTTATTTTTTTATTATTTTATTTTAAACATAGATATCAACAATATATATATTTTTTTATTATTTTAAATTAATATAATTTTAATGTAATACTACTACCTATACACACATACACGCCCATTTTTATTATTACAATTAATTATTATTATTCTTATTAATATATTATGTCAAATTTTTATTTGAGTTTTACTAAATGAATTCAATAAGACACAACAACAATATTAAATCAAATATGTATTTGTTTCTTTGAAAAAAAAATATTTATACAAATGTGTTTTCTTTTTTTTATCTATTATTAAAAATGGATTTGGCTTTTTTAAGTTCTTTCACAGTTGCCAACAGTAAAAAACACCCTACGAATGAAAGGCGTGGATTTTTAAAGAATATTTCTGAGGGACTTTGAAAGCAACAAGGCGTGGATTTTAATGAATATTTCTGAGGGACACGGCGTGGATTTTTAAAGAATATTTCTGAGCAACAAGACGTAGATTTAAAAAAAATTCTGAGCAACAAGACGTAGATTTTTAAAGAATATTTCTGAGCAACAAGACGTAGATTTTTAAAGAATATTTCTGAGCAACAAGACGTAGATTTAAAAAAAAATCTGAGCAACAAGACGTAGATTTTTAATGAATATTTCTGAGGAATTTTTGAAAGCAATATTTTTGAGAGGGACTATTAAAGCAACAAGGGGAGTCCCAACCGGTCTTCTTGATGGTAGCCTTTTTACTATCCTTTATCGCTGCGGTTGTATACGAAACAAGTAGATGCCAATGATGTGTGTCTTCTTTTCTGATGCTCTGTCGATGTGATAATTTACATTGTCATAGACTATGTGAATTTTTTATCGATATCAGTCCACTTTTAATAATAGCTCCCATACAACGATGCCCTTGGTTAGTTTGGTAACGTTTTCCAACCAAATTGGTTATAATTTGGTATTTTCAATTCCTATTAGTTAGCAAATCTCCCTACCACCAATTATCGATATCGGTCCACGATTTCATATAGCTCCCATACAATGTTACTCCAAATTATTCAATATTTTGGGTAGTTTGGGCATGCTTTTCATCCAAATTGGCTATCAGCCTTATTCTGGATGTCAATTCCATGTGAATTTACTCGCTCTTTCCCTTCGCCTTATTCTGAACAACATTTTCCTGTGAATTTTTTCGCATTCTCGCTTTCGCCTTATTCTGAATGAAGTTCGAAAGCGAAAAAATCCGCTTTGGCGAAAAATTAGGTATTCTGAATTACAGATGAGATGAAATTTTGTGCGAATTTTTTCGCTAATAAATTTAAGGGGAGTTGACTACAAAAACATAAGTAATAACTATTTTTATGAAAAATATTTACAAAATACTTATTCTATGACGATTTAGAATATTATAAATGATAGTAATCAAATTTTTAACTGGAAAACAGCCAATAAAATGCCATTGGAAATCCTATTGATAACGATGCATGCTGAACCAAGTATTGCCAAAGAATGTATGAAGGTAATAAGGAATATTTAAGTCGAGTTTGATGCATTTTGGAGGCGAAATACAGACATTTGGGTGAGGATCTGTCTCTCAAGAAAACAATTTTAAAAATTATGGAAAAACCAAATTTGCCTGATGAGCCGCTTAACAGTGAAAAACTGAAATAAAAATGATGAAAGAACAAAAAATATTTTTTTTCAAAATTATCGTGTGCATGATTTGAAGCAAGAAATAAAGGAGTAGGAGCAAATCATAACATAACTGACCACTTTAAGAATTTGGGGAGATAAAATATAAAAATTAAATAAAAAGGCACACAATTATGTAGTGAAATAATAAACTGTGAATTAATTAATTAAATCGCAGATTTCTTCCTATTATTCGTTGTGTTTTTGCAATCATAAAAAAATGTTCTTTTATTTGTAATCTATTGTAGTTGTTGCATCAAAACAATGAACAGCTGTTTCACATGCCATATTGTAGGTTGCCATATTTTCAAACTTTAATTTATTTTCTTTTAATTACAAAGCATTTATACAGCGGATTCTTGATATTTCACATACTATAAAGTTTAAATAACAATAAAAAGTAACAATTTTTAATAACAAAAATCAATAAATAATATATTGAAAAATGTTACACAATTAAATTACAATGGGGCAACACACATTGCAACTTAAATTACAATATGGCCACACACATTGCAACTTAATTTACGACATGGCAACACGAATCTTTTTTTCAACCACCATTTTCGAAAACTCGAATCAGCATCTCGCATTTTTTGCATCTCCCTATTCATTCAGAATAAGGCGAGAATGTGAAAGCGAAAATTTTCTACATGCGAGATATCTCCCTAGCAAATATCCAGAATAAGGCTGTATAATTTGGTATTTTGAGGATAGCTCCCATATAGCGGTACCCTCCATTATTCGGTATTTTTGGGATTTATTGACACAATTTTCAACCGAATTGGCTTTAATTTGGCATTTTGAATTAGGATTAGACAGCAAATCTCTCTACCAAAAATTATGGATTTCGGTCCATTTTTGAGAATAGCTCTCATATAACGGTACCCTCCATTATTCGGAACATTTTTAAAACGAATTGGCTTTAATTTGGTATTTTAAATTCCCATTGGATAGCAAATCTCCCTACCAAAAAAATCGATATCGGTCCACTTTAAAGCTCCTATACAACGGTACTCCCCATTATTCGATATTTTGAGGAGTTTGAGCAGGTTTTTCAACCAAATTGAATTCTCATTGTATAGAATATCTGCATACTAAAAATTGTGGATGTCGGTTCACTTTTGAGGATAGCTCCCATATAGCGGTACCCTGCATTATTCGGTATTTTTGGGATTTATTGACACAAATTTCAACCGAATTCCCTGTAATTTGGTATTTTGGGTTCTCATTGGTAATCAAATCTCCCTACCAAAAATTATCGACATCGGTTCCCATGCAACGTTACTCCCCATTACTCGGTATTTTGGGGAGCTTGATCATGTTTTTCAACCAAATTGACTATAATTTACTATTTTGAATTATCATTGGGCAGCAAATCTCCTTACCA